TTATTGATCATAACATCCACCTCACCTCCAGTTTCATCATGCTCTTCCTAAAACAAGAGATAGCTATACACATGCGTCAGATTTTCTCCAGCCCTAACTCCTCCTCCCCATGGCGGCACTCTTATGCATGTTATTATGATGCGCTATCTAGTAAACACTTCTGTTTTACTTATTTCTGCCTTCCACATAAAGCCTCCACTAGCTGTCAGAGAACATTGGTGTACTTTGTAATCTAGACGTGGGGCCACAGCTAAAGGAGCTGTTCACTGTGTCGACCCACTCAATAGCCATCAGGCTCAAATCTGTCTTTTCCTTTTTTGCCAAAAGACCTTTAATTTATCCCAGTCTGAAAATGTAGTTATTAACTCTCGATTCACATGTCAAAGTGAAGTCTGCATGAAGAACAAAACAGAGAACTGGACATTACTCAGAGAGTGCAGACCTCCGCCAAGAGGCAATTCACTTTCCCCATAATGCCATATAAGCAATATTCCCATGATAGTTTGACCCTCATCATACGATTGCCTGACCATGAAAACCTACTGCTGGCATTTGGAACAACGTTGATATTAGTTTGAAAGCTATTCGAGAAAAACAACAGACATGACAGATGCTCACTCGTTGGTTTAGGGGTAAAACGGTGAAGACGTCACATTTCTGCACGTTTGTGTTGTGCTTGTTCAACAGCTGGGTGATAAACTGCTCATACGGCCTGTTACTGGCCGACTGATTGTTCGTATCCTCTGCTCAGCTTCCAGTGTGTGAGGGGAGTGCAGCCCCTCCCTCCTCTAAACAGAGACCCACACAGCACAAACAGTGAAAAACCAACTAGGTTGGTCTGCGTCAACCAGTGAGGTAACAGTAAAAAGCACACGATGTATCATTCGTTAGGTTACGACAATGGACATGCAGCTATGATGTGCAGCTGGAACACCAGCGTCCTCGTCAACAAACTGTGCTCTGAACAAGATGTAGCTGCCTGCTAATAGAGTTAGCTTGGTCAGATAACAAGCACTCACATCTCAAAACAAACTCTAAATTGGCATTACTTAGATAAACTGACCACACTCTCAATCTATGTGGTTACTTTGCCACCTGAAAAAAAAAAAAAATCACAACTTATTAATGCAGCTGGGTGGTAAACATGTACTAAGGGGAGATAAATAAATTAAGTAGTTTTCCACTTATGGTGGGGGGTCCCCTGGGGGTTCTTGAGGCTCAAGTTTTCCTGAAATGTTCATAGTTTTCCTGTTGATGTAACTGTTTAGTTTTGTTGTTGTAATGTGGGGGTAACTTAAAGTGGGCTGCTAGAGTCTAATGTCACCTTGGCCACTAGATGGCAGTACTGAATAAGCTGTTTACACTCTGCCAAAACTTGGCCGAGTGTATTGTGGTCTCTTCCTTCTTTATGTGTGGACTGAGCTCAAGAACAGCCGAGTGCAGTGACTGTTTTAACCTCTGTATGTCAATATGTAACTCAATATGCCCGAATCTTGTTGGATTCTCTTGTATTAATAGAAGTCAGTATCCTGACAAGATGGTGCATTATAGATGCCGATGGCGGCAGTGTGTCCAATATAGAGATGAGCTTTTGGCAGGATGTAAGTTACTTTAAGTATGTGAATGTGGCATTTTATGGATTTTTGGTGACTATTTGATTATTTGGTGTTTACAGATTATTTTATTTTGTTTGTGTGTGCATCCAGAGCCCACTGCCGTATTTTGTTACTTATTTTTGTTACTCCTTATTTTTGTTAACCCATATTTTGTAGCCCCATATTTTGTTATTTTGTGTAAATAAACTGTGACCCGCTGGACATCAAAGCTGCAAGGACCCCAATAATTGTGTCCCATGTGGCAACCACTTTACCCAGGCTACATTAAAATGGCATAACACCAGTCCTAGAAATGAAAACAAGGCTGGCTCAAAATCTCTGCCATCAGGCTCTCGGCCAGCTGTCTCTGCACAGAGTAGATCTTTCCCCAGCTGGAGGTGCTCAGCAGCACAGCTGTGCATTTTGGCCACAAGGGGGGCTCCCAGACAGTCTGCAGCCTTTCCAGCATTCACAACAGTGAATAATTTTTTTAAAATTCCTGTATCCAAATTATATTATTATTATATAAATCAGCCCCAAAATCAGCACCCTACCCCAAAAAAAAAAAAAAATTCAAAATCTGTTCATTATTATTATAATTGTGAGTTATGCAAAAACAAAACAAACCAACAAATGCAGGCAGAAACATAACCCCCGTCCTTGGCTGAGATAACAATGGACCGTATTTTGCCAGCTCCAAAACGTGCACTAAAGGTCCATCAAACTTCTGTAGTGGGTTTTGCGGTCTTAACATTTAAAGGGCACATTTAAAAATGTGTACTTGCTCCACTGACTTGGCCACACTCTCTACAGGCACAAAAAAAAAAGAAAACCCAAACACTCCGGCCACCATAGTCCACCCCCCCCCCACTCTCCCCCCCCGGA